TTTTTTTTTTTTTTTTTTTTTTTTTTTTTTTTTTTTTTTTTTTTTTTTTTAATTCTGTAATAACACTGAAAGAGAGATTGGAACGTTCAAGGCGGCAGCATCGAAGTAAAGGCCACCCAGAACTACGCGTCCTACGCCTTCATCAGCAAGGACTACGCCAAGTTCCGCAAGGAGACCAACTACCACGTACGTATTTCTTTTTCTTGTTCGCTCTTTTTCGCGTTTGCGGTTAAGCGAAACGAATCGAATTCGCGTATCACGAATAGTTTAGAGACGGGGCAAATAAACTCGCCATCCCGAATGCGGGAGTTCGAGCGAATAACAGAGAAACACACGGACGAGTTTTGAGGAGGATACGAATGATTTATGTACTCGGCGGAATTTAATCAATGAAATCCGCACCCGAAACATCGATTATAAACGCGTCTGACGTTCGACTTAGTTCAGGAATTTTGGCCGGAGGCATTCCTTATTGGAAACACGATACGGGAGTTTCCCACTCCCGACGATCGGGAGGGCGGTGGGGAGGGAGGGGGGTGAGAGGCGACGATGTATCTATTATGAACGTGTTGCGTTATTATTAATGGCCGGGCGCGTCGTTGGAGTACAGAATGCCACTTATGCTTCGAGAGGAACTCGAATTCCCGCGGGATACACGAGAATCTACTCAGACAGACAGTCGAGAACGGACTGCGGCGGATTCCGGGATTCGTCGCGATTCTTAAACGAGCACGTCAGTCCCGCGTCAGAGTCGTGGAAACACACGACGAGAGAGACCGCCAGTTTCTCCACTTCGCAGTTATCAAGGCTTTACTGCGAAACTTCGTCTGTGACGACGCGACTTTTCTGAAAATTATTTGTCAAAAGTGGTACAAGTTGTTTTTTTTAGATACAAAAAATTGTCAAACGTTAACGCATACTTTCTTCTGTGACTCCTCTTTTATTTTAGAAATATGAGGATTTCTTTTTAAAATGTTCAAAAATTTTGTTAGAATTCTGTTTTGGAGCTAAAAACAGTAAATTTTAATCACTTTGACGTAATTTTCCAAACAAGGAGGAATCTCGCTATGTGTGACTTTTTTATTTATCTTTCAAAGTATTTTTTCAATTTATTTAACAAATGGTCACGTTTCCGTGTAAATTCGCTACAAATTTATTCCCGCGTTTTGAAGGCGAATCAACTATTTTGCATTACTAGTTTCCGCGTGGCGCTCGAGTGTCAAGAAGTTAAACACTCCGCGCAATCGGGAATCTCGAATTCCGCGGCGTTGAATTCCGCGAACCGATCATTAAAATCGACGAGAGTCGACCGGATCGGATTACGATTATATAGCGAACACTTTGACGCGCGCGCGCATAGAATAAAGCTTTTAAAATAATCTTGGCGCGAAGCGATTACGATCGAGTTACAGCAGCGCGAGGTCTGTTATTAATTGTTCAGCCCGCGATTGATCAGTCGACGAGCGCGCCTGTCGAGGGACGAGGTCACCGAGTGGTCGAGGAACGAGTCAGCACCGGTGCGATCGATATTGAGGAGGACACGTCCGTCACCGCTGTCGCCCCGTATTCGACCGCCTGGCCCACGACGATGGAAACCGACATTATGGACAATGAAATCTTGATAGGGACCGTGGATTATAAATCGACCTTGGAAGTGACGACCGTCCCCTCGACGACTACGACGAATGAGGTTTTAATCTGACGTAATGCGGCGATACAAACCGGAGAGAGGCCGGTCTCTCTCTCTCTCTCTTTTTCTTTTGCTCTCTTCCTTGTCTCTGAAAATTACAGCTCGTGAAAAAATTCTCAAATGAGTAGAAAGCGAACACATCCACTTATATACGTTTCCTTGAAATTTCGGCGCGCGGTTAAATTACAACGCGAGTTACACGCGCTCGCAATAACTCACGTAAAGATATCATTCCAACGAGTTCTCGATGTTGAGCAAAAGTTTTGTTTGTTTTAATATTTGCGAAGTTAAAACATCGGACGGACGAAGCAAGAAAATATAAAAACATAAATAGAGAAGCATAAAAAAATATAAATAGCGAAAAAATAGCTGACCAAATTTTCTTTCGCTCGCGTTATCAACGACAACATTTTCTACAAGCGTCGATGTATGTAAAAAAAAAAAAAAAAATACACATTGTTCCGAAACGCGGAATTTTATTCTTTCTTTCTTTTTTTTTACCGTGACTTTATTTCTCGCGGTTGTAAATTCGCTCGTAACGATCAATTTTGTAATAAAACAATTATTTGTTTCTCACGCGCCAGTTGTCGAGCAATGCTGAATCGACAGTGGTGTTCGAGTCGACGACCAGACTCGCCGATTCCGTCACCGACGATTCCTGCGCGACGTGCGCGGATCCCGCAATCGTGACGACGACGACAACGACGGGGGATCCGTCCGGCGCGGACAGTTCGACGATCTCGTCGGCGGAATGGACGACGCAAATGCTTCCGGAATTAATACATCTCGTCGAGGGTGCCGAGCGTCGAGGGGACGAGGAGAACAGAACCGCGAGCGAGAACGAAGACGAGGAAGAAGAGGAGCTCGCAAAAACGAGCGCGGAGACAAAGGCGAACGTAATCGAGAGAAACAAAGCTGCGACGCATCCTTTCGCAATCTCGACGGAGAACGCGGGGGATGTCGTCGTTCCGAACGACGAGAAATCGCCCGAGAACTCAACGCACACCAAGGTACGCAAGGGGAGAGGAAGGAATAATAATAATCAGAACTTTCGGCGCGAAACTAACGCGACCGCGATGAGTATTCGTTTCGAAAGTTGAACGGGGAAATAATCATCGCGCGGCGCGCGCGCGCGCGCGCACCCACATCCCCCTCTCTTTCGCGTTACTTCCAACAATTATTTCGCGAATGCGGAATTACCGCCGAATGTTGTAGCACGCCCTAGTTTCGGGAAATTTTCACAAACCACCAAAGAGAGAATACAATAATAAATTCGAATAAAGAGCCTCTCGAATCCGGGGAGAGTAGAGCAGCAGCAGCGCGGTTTACAAAATGATATAACAAATTCACACAACAAGTGTCGATATATGTCTCTATTAAACAAATTTATCGGCGTGTATCCAATCAATTTTTGAGTAAATATTTTGAATATTCTCTTTCCTTCTCATTGGAAATCTCACGATGTAATATCGAAATTTTCAAACCGCGCGTTTCGCGAGCAATTCAAAATAAATTCAGTCGCGAGAACATGTTTGCTCGCTCTATACATATACATATATATATATATATATATATATATATATATATATATATATGCGCATATTCATGTACTTTGTGTACTTGTTAATTATCGCGCTCGAAAACAAACAAAAAAAAATATGCGAGGAATGAAGGCAAGCGATTGTGTTCGCGATTAAGCACATGTGTGCGTGTGTGTGTGTGTGGTGTATGACGCAGAGAACGGAAGCGATTGGCGGCAAGAGACCCGTCACCAGTCCATCGTCGACGATACTGATGCCGGACGACATTCTGGTGATGAACGTGACGGTGAAGACGAATGTCTCGGTGGGTCATATACAGGGTGTCACGATAAATCCAATTAGATCCGTCCCGCCGGACGTGGAGGCCATCACTCATCGCGAAAAGGCCGAGGATTACGACTACGTCTACAGCAAGCCGACTTTGCCGCCGTCGCTGCCGAACGTCAGGTGACTCCCGTCGTATATCCCGTCATCACCGCGCGATTTGTGACATATCTCCGCTAGGCGGAATTTAGGTGGCGAAAAGTGTTTTTCGACAAATTTCCTAAGTGCGATAGTTTTATTTTTTTATTTTATTTTTTTAGAATGCGCGGGATATAAAATATCGCACAAACGCCGATGTGCACGCGCGATATGTGGCGGCGCGCGGTCGATGTAATCGACGATGCGTTTTATTTCTTTTTATTAGCCGACGCGCGATGTGCGAATCAATTTTTCACGCTTATATAAACGGAAGCGGGTTTTTTTCCCCCCGCGAGCTCTCGCGTCGCGTCGATCGGGGAGAGAATCGCCGCCCTGAATTAAATTGAAATCGCTCGTCGAAAACAACTGATTGATACCGATTTATGGCGTTACATTTTTAACGCCAGAAAATGCATATCGCCACTCGATTTCTATACATATATATATATATATATATATATGTGTATATATATATACATATATATATACATACATACATATATATATATATATATGTACACATATATATACACATCTGCGGCGCGCGGCTTTTTCTCTCTCGTTTCGCATGTACAAATGCGATGGAAAATCGCGTTTTCACGCGAAACAACTGTGTACAGTTCACAAAATGACGAATGACATCGTTTTTCCGAATGTTTCTCATTCGATTCAGGGAACAACGTAATTGAGATTATTGTTTAGAATCTAATTGAAAAACGAAACTAAATTTTCGTCTTATTGTAGGATAATACCCTTCGTCGCGGAGGACGCATTGGTAAAGGACAAGGATTCGGTGGTGATGTTTCCTGAACTACGACCGACCGACGCTTCCGGTTTTTACGACATTGCGACCCAGGAAAACCGATTCAGCCCACCCGTCGAGACCGAAGGTACTTTACGGTTTTCCGACCGAAGTCAAATGAACGTGTTCCGCAAATGTATATCGCAAAAAAAAAAGGAAATTCTCTCAAGATGAAACATCAGTCTTTTGCAATTTCCGCTATTTGATAATAAAATGTGCTTTATGTCAATAATAAATATTTGTGTCCGTAGGAGGGTTCGTGCCCAGAGAACCGCCGTATTTCGACGTTCCCTATCGTTCCACGGATTTGAATCTCGAGATCGGCACCGGGGTCACTGTGGTTTCGCAGATCACGAGTCCGCATCGAAAAACTGACGGTATATACGTAACATCGATTCATCGCTGATTTACAACGAGAATTACACACACACATATATATATATATATACAAGCGCGAATCTAACGTACTAACCGACGCGTGTTTTGCCTAATCAGATTTATCTAGCAAGTGCCACTTTGAAAATGTGGAATACCGTCACGGCGAGATCCTGCCGCGTGCCGGTTATCCTCTCTGCATAATCTGCATGTGTTACCACGGCAAGGTTGTGTGTTCCTCGGAAAAGTGTCCGCCATTGAAGATCGGTTGCCAAAGGATCAACACGGAGAAGAGATGTTGCGGGAAAATCGTTTGTGGTATCGCAACCCTGTTTGATATAATCTCGCTCTCGATGTAAACATTAATTAATCCGCAAGAGATAGTTATTGAAAATATGTAAAATCAAAACTTTCACAAATATTTGTTCCACGCTGTTGCCGTATAAAAACAAAAATTGTTTTCTTTATTTATAAGAAACTTTGCTTCTTGCGTCATCTGAAATTTAAATTTCAACTTAAATTTAAAATTTAAATTAAATTTGTTTTTTTAATTTTAAATATTAAAGTTACAATTTTTTAATTTAAATTTAATATCTGCAACGACATATATATATATATATATACATGCTTTAAATGTGTTTCTTATTTTTGCATCTTATCGCAGTCGAAGCCGACGAATCGCCGACGGTGGTGCTCGATCGCGCCGACGCGACGGCGCCTTCGCAGCGGCAGCCCACGGTGTCGCCGGATCCGTTTCGCGACGTAATCAGGACTGAGCCGGCCCCGGACTTACCTTCTCTGATCGAAGACATGATTCCTTACCTGGAACGTGGCATCACGACTCCAAGACCGACGACGTCCATGGGAGCGTCGAAGATTCCGAGTCACGGCTCGGCTGGCAATCAGTTGCTGAGCTTCGACTTCATGGAGCAAGTGCCGCTTATACGACCGCCCTTCGATTACGACGAGAGACCGATCGTCTCTCCCTATTTGTTAAAGATGAAGTACGGAGCTAACCGCGAAGTGCTCCCGAAGGATACGGTCTCGTTAACGCACGATTCCGAAAATCAACGACCGGATCGCAAGCCCGAAACTCCGGGAGTGTTCGGTTACGAAAGGCCGTTGACATTCAATCGCACGAACGACAATTCGAAGAACGATCCCTCTCGTACTATTATCACGGAAAGGATCGCGAAGGACAACGCGTCCAGGATCGACGAGGGCTCGAAATCGACGATCGTATCGCGAAGAAATCTCACAGGCGAAGCGGACAATCGCGTCACGAAGCACGAAGACAAGAAGAAGATCGCCGAGGATGTCAAAGACGACGACATTTACTCTCTGGATTCCGTTATCAAACTGTTATTTCCGACGAACAGCAGTTCCGACGTCAAGCCGATCGAAACCACGAGAACGCCGGTAGTTTCGATCGGACCGAGCGAGACGCGGGAGGAGAATCCGGAGACTCTCGTCGCCTCATCGACGTCGACGAGCACGTTGAGGACGGAACTTCTCCCCACAGCGCGGACGGAAACCGTCGAGACGTCCTCGAAGGTCCTCGACAATGAGATATCAACGTCTGTGAGCAGTACGCTGACGGTGGCCGGTTGCAATATATACGGGCGGATGTATCGCGTGGACAGAATCATCACCGAGCTCTCGAGTGCCTGCCTCGAGTGCAGATGCACGAAAATTGGTGTCCAGTGCAAACAGCTGGAATGTTGATCGGACACCGATTCCTCCCCCTCCCCCCTCACCCGTCCGTTTCCGAGATTTAACGTCGTCCTGTGTAAGAAATCGGTCTCGCTCGAGCGTGAATACGTTCCGTGCGGGAAAGAGGACTCGTGTTTTCTTTTCAAACGGGGAAAGACGAAGAGCTCGCGGATTCGGCGCGGATAACACAACACCGAGTGTGTTTTCAATCAATTATCGAGAATCGCAAATGGGGAAATTTTATAACGATTGCGCACGCGTGTGTATAAAAATGATATATAAAATTGATAAAAGAGATTAAAAAAAAAAAAAAAAAAAAAAATCAACAACTCGGAGAATCTTGTTGAATTAAACTCTCTGATAATTCACCCGCCCTTTATAATTTTCTCTCTTGTATATTCCGAGAAAGTTTCTCGGAAAATTACTTCGTAAAATGTCTAAAGTAAATCGCGCGAGATTTTCCGTCATCCGAAACGCGTCTCGCGCGCGCGCGCGATAAGGATATTCGAAATACTTCGCTTGTCAGTTTCGAGTACCGACCGTAACTACGAATCTCTCCAACTATCAAGACCGCCTTCCGTTGTTGTACTTTCCGGCTAAGACGAGATAGATCCTGGCAGAACGATGAATCTTGGAGACCAGAACTTGGAACCAACTTGGACCGCGTAATTATCCAGGCGGAACCGATAGACTTGGGGGGACTTAGAGAGAGAGGGGGGGAGGATCTCGATGACCCTCGATAACGAGACACCGACGCTCGTGGTCAGATTACTCTAACTGGATGTAATATCCGCGCGCTGGGTTTGTATCGCGTTGGTCGGATCATTACGTAGTCCTCCCGCAGACTCTCTCTCTCTCTCTCTCCTCTCGAGTCCACAGTTCCGAATGCGGTCGTCCTCGCGGATGGGAATTTATGTAGAAAATGACGTCGACCTCGGTCGCATCGCATCGGTTCCTCGCGCGGTAGCTTCGCAAAAACGATTTTCCTCGAAGATATTTCGCGACTCTCTTTCACGTTTGCATTCACGAACCCGTCGTTTGTTAGAGACAAAAAAACGTTATCTTTTGATCTTGGGGAAAAAATAAAAAAAAAAACAGTTGCGAAGAATTTCAACGATCGCGCGTTTTCAGCGCGATGGAAATTCACATCGCACGCGCAAGCGGAGCAAAAAAACGTCTTCTTTGATATTTGCCCGCGGCGCGATCTTTTTTTTTTTTTTTTATCGATTTGGGAATTAATGCCGCGGTTTGACGTTTCCTCCCCCTCCTTAACGTTTCTCCGTGCGTAATCGAGTATTCCCCCTCCGATTAGCGGATACCTATATCCGCTCGGAGTTCATCCGACTCGTATTTCATCCGCGCGCGACCATCTCTCTCTTTCTCTCTCTCTCTCTCTCTCTCTCTCTCTCTCTCTCTCTTCTCTCTCGTCGTCTTTTATCCCCGGGATTCTCAGACTCCTCTTTCTAATTTCTTTCGTCGTTTTCTCAATTCTGGCTTGTATCGCCGAGCATTATTCCCGAGACGTCGCGCGACGGTCATAAACGCGAGAGCCTTACGAAGAATCCACGATCCTCGGGAGCCGAGGAATCGATCGGGATGTAATTGTGAGAAATAGTCCTTCCGTGCCACGCAAGATAAGTGGATGAAGGCGGAAGTTAGCGGCGGGGTATTCGCTCGCTTCCTCCTTTCCCACTTTAATGGGAATTATCCGTCTATATACCGCTCGCGGAGGGAGGAGGAGAAGAGGGGCGAAGAGAGCGGGGGAGCAAAGCGCGCGGGGGATGGGTGCCATTTTGATTTATCTCCGTAATTTATCTCGCTGGACTCTCGAATGCAAAAGATACCGAGTTGGAATATTACAGAGGACGGAAGAAAAAGACAGAAGGGGTGGGGGAGAGGATGAATACTCGGTCCCGCGACGGAGACGGCGTTTTCTTGCAAAACTCAAATTATCCGGACTAAATTGCATGTCTCCCGCGAACGAAGTGAGATTTTAGTGGCGTATGCGGTATCGATCATTAATCCTCAAACATTTGCGAGAGAGCAAAGACACGACGAGAGAAAGAGAGAGAGAGAGAGAGAGAGAAAGAGACAGAGAATGTTCGCTCTGTGGTGGCGGAATAATATCGTGATGAGGAGCAGCGATAATTTTTTGACTGAAAAGAAAAATCTGGGGAAGCCGTTTTGTTGGAAACTGATTTATTTTATTCGTAATTCTTCCAATTTGTTTGTTCTGTAAATGTTTATATAACAACAAGATGACAACAGCGATAAGATAATACACACATGCGTTTAGTTGTTAAGTAAACGATAACGATCTCAATGTAGCGTCGTCACTGATTGAAACCGAACGATCTGTATGTTTTGAAAGGCGACGTTTTATTATCCGAGATAGATGCGATCACAGTCGCGCGACAACAAAGTCCGATTGGTGCTGGAATAATTTTTTTTACAGATCACACAATGTCTCGAGTCGGAAAATCGTATTTTGTTATTACATTTAGCATTTAATTTTTTATTTTTTTGCGAGTCGAACGTAATTGAAGAGGAATATAGATCAGAACCTGTAGAACGAGAGAGAGAGAGAGAGAGAGAGAGAGTAGACATTTATGCGATGTAAGTACTTCGAGTTCCGCATTTCCTGTGTGCGCCGCAACTGTATCGAGATCGAGAGAGAGAGAGAGAGAGAGTTGTAAGAATGCTTTTGTTGGAACTTATGAAACGTTGTATTATTAAATCTTTTGAGAATTTTCCTCCTCCTTTATGCGCTCGTATTTTTGAAACGTTTGCGCTCTCGAAGAATTCGCATGCGACTCTCAATAGTTTTATGTACGTGCATTACGCGCCCCCGCGAACAAAAGCCTGCGATCCGGAATTACATCGACGATGATGATAAATAAAAGCGATCTCTCATCGTTTTATATATTTATATTTGTATACGTAAAGAGGATATTTATATTATAAAATTCCAGCCAATAATGTTAAAATCTCTTTTCCCGACAAAACTGAAACAAAGGGGATCGCGGTTATATGTTTATATCGATGATACGCGCGTTGGTTATATAACGCGCTTTCGATTCGACGTAAATTGGGTTGAAAACTGACAGCCGCTTTTGAAAGCCGCATTTTATGCGGAGGCTTGTAACATATATATATGTGTGTTTACATTCGTTACAATAAACTCTTACATCATTCCACTTTGTTTTTATTTTATTTCATTTTTTTTCCCCCGTCATTCCTCTCTCTTCCTTTCGTGTAAACTCCGCGCTGTAACAGAGAACACGCATTCATTCATTGCCGGCAAAATAAATATTTTTAAAGCAACGTGAAAAAAAAGCTCAGCTCAGTTTTAATTAAATTTTTATCCTACAACGCGCGCGCCGCCGCGAGGAAAAGTGCAAATAATTTTTTTTTTTTTTTTCTAATAAATAAAATATTTCCAACTATCGGCGAAACAACTATCGAGGATTTTTTCGTCCGCGTAACACAAAAATATGCAAAACTACTCCGGAGAGTGCGTCGCACACAAGCGCGCGCGTTATTAGAATATTTAATTAATCTCCCATTTCCGTTAAATTGTGTTCGGGTAAAATAAATCTTCCGATAAGAGAGAGAGAGAGAGAGAGAGAGAGAGAGAGAAAGAGAGAGAGAAAGAAAAATCGTTTCAATCGAAATCCGGTCGCGGATCGCAAAACTCGCAATGGACTCCGATCTTCGAAACGATACACCGGCCATTGTTGCGTAACGAATAATAACAAAACGACGAGGAATTCTCCAACGAGAGGAATTAATAATACGAGAGAGAGAGAGAGAGACAGAGAGAAAGAGAGCGAAGGATGTGGGAGGGGAGGATGGGTAGCGAATCGAGATTGGATCGTGGCACTTTGTGAAACGTGACGTACGATTCGAGCGATTTTATTGCAGGCAATCGATTGATTCGATTATACAATGGAGGTAACGGGGAAGTCTCATTATTATACTCGCAACGAAATCGCAGTACGTGTGAGTGTGCGTGCGATGAATGCGCGAACGTACGTGTGTACGTGTGTGCGCGTGTATGTGTGTAATATCTATATATTTAATAATTCATATATTATTTACAAGATATATATCGTGATGTAATCAAAAATCGACGACAACACTAACATAATCACAGCCAGTTCGTCTTGTGACATCAATAAAAACAAGAACAAGTATTATATATATATATATATATGTCTACGATTATATATTTATTGTATATATTGTTACGCGGCGGTCACCGCGATGTGTCGCGGGAGCCGCGTGAACGGCGCGCGCTCGGCGCGACTGTTGCCGGACGACTCGCGAGCAGTGATGAAAGATCGAGCCGGCTAGCACCGAGAGCACCGAGGTAGTGGGAACCACTGGGAACACGCACACAAGCGAGAACGCCGCCTTGTGCGTGACGTCACGCACACAGCGACGGTTCTCGCTTGTGTGCGTGTTCCCAGTCGTTCCCACTACCTCGGTGCTCTCGGTGCTAGCCGGCTCGATCTTTCATCACTGCTCGCAAGTTTGTTTAAGAAGAATTGCAACCGAGAGCTGTCACGTCGCGCTTCGACGATTCGTCCTGATACAATTTGTATTGTGATATCATTTGTATTCTGAGTGTTAATAAAGTGTTTTGAGAGAGAGACCGCGCTTCTTCGTTCGCCGCGAACGCGCTCGTGAATTTCAGTGGCCGGCGCTATAGTGCCGTCTCGCCTCCGCGGGCGTAACAATATATATATATATATATATATGTTATACACGACCAAGTGCTCGGGTGAACACATGACGTTTCTCGCCTTATGACTTTGTTACGTTATCGCTGTATATGCGTTATCGCGGTTGCTATTCCCACTGTCTACAAATATCTCAACATGCGGCGCGTAATAAATCAAATTTTATAAAGACACACATCGACAAACCTGAAATATCGTACAAAGAACCGTTATAGGGAAGAGAGGGGGAGAGGGATCGCCGTAATTGTTCGTCGCGCGCTCCCGCGTTTTCAGGAGATCCGTTTCCGGAAAATTCAAGCGAGCGCTTATAAACTCCCCCCTCCCTCCCTGTCCGTTAACTCGAGCTAACATTCGCGTGTCGTCGCGCACGAGACACGCCGCGACGAGAGAGAAATTCAAAGCGCGGACGAAGATTGATGGAAAACGGGGGAGGAGGGAGCTAACCCCGAGATCTGAACGCGCGCGAGAACTCTCGACAATCCTTGCTGAGGAGCAAGTTAGCATTGCGATTAAGGACACTACGCTAACACGCTAGAAATATCGTGCGAGAGAGAGACGGAGAGAGTTTTACAAGCATCGTAAATAGAAACGCGCGATTATCTCCACGCGCCCACGTTATCGTTAACGCGCGCCAGTAAGGATCTCGTGCGGCGCTTAATCGGGAAAATACGGCGGGATGAAGCGCGAAGGAATTTATACCGAATCTCCTAATCCTCTTTTGTTTTTTTTCTTCTAGCTGACGTCGAAAGGTGACTCGAGACGACCGCGAAACGCTTGCGCGTTTGCTTTTCCACTTCTCGAGACGAGAGAGTTTTTTTGTGTGTTCGGAAAAAGTTGTTTGTTGTTCCGAAAGCACGAAATCAGACGGTTGTTAAACTCTGCTTTATTAACGATCGATATACACTTATCTTGCCATATATTTATAATAAAACTTTCGTTACATCGTAACACGTTTACACGTTTTGGTTTGTAATATGATCGCTTTATTTTACAAACACACACACACACACACACATACAATCTTCTTACATAATCTCGTACACGCTAGAAGTGTTTAATACGGATAATGAAAAAGATCAAAGAGATACTTCCGATATATTGCCAGCGACGTTACCTAGGCTTTTCAACATTATTTACTCGAAATCGCGCGCGGTAATTTCGATTATTTCCGCGCGCGAGTCGTTAACAATTATTAATTCTCGTGCGTTCTCGCGCGTTTTAAATAAATTACTCTTCGCGTTCTTCTACAATTATATAATCGCGTTCACCGTTAACGGCCGAACTTTTTACTCTCCTTTTCTTACGCTATATTTATATTTATATATTTATTTATTTATATAATTACGATTCTTTAAATTTTTTTTTTTTTTTTTATACACACATTGCGCACACACTTTCGTGCCAGTTTCTCTCCTTTCGCACAGCGAGATTGACAGTAGCGAGAAATTCTTACAATTATACTCGTTAAGTATTTTGTTAAGTATATTGTTCGTTTTTACATTCGCAACCCGATATGTCGGGCTGCAAAGTCGGCAGTTGTTGTTGTTTGGTTATTTTATTTTATTTTATTTTTGAACGTTTCTTACCTGTCCGTAAAAAAGTCGCCGTGTTCACCAAGTGTTCGCAATATCAAATTTATCAAAGTGTCAGTGCGCGAAGAGAAAGAAAAAGAGAGAAAGAAAGAAAGAGTCACAATGTCACACTCTTCAGGTATTTTTCTTTCCTCCATTCGATCGCGAACGAACAGGTAGGTATCGAGATCTCTTTGGATTAAATGGCAGCGAGTAAACGAATTCGACGGATTGTCGTCGATCTTTGGTATTTCCTACACAACAACCGAGCGCGGCCAACCTCCTTCGCGAGCAGCATTCCCCAGCGCGGGGACGTATCGATCACGTGTTTCTTCTTTCTCCTCTTCATCCTTCGGAAACGAGTGTTTCCGCGCGGATTTGTCGGAGATCGCGACCGCGCGCGTACGTGAGAGAGATTCGAAGAGAGTTTGCGAAAGTTCTCTCAGAATCTGACGAGTCCACAGAGCACCGTTTCTCTCGCGTTTTTTCTTCTCGGCTCGTTCGTGATTCGGCGAGTTCACTACTCGAACACGCTCTCGGCGGCCTCCCGAATCTTGATGATCAGGAAGGACCGTCTGCAGAGCTTGACGAGCATCTCGATCCTCTGTCAGGATGGCTTCCTGAGCTGGGGCAGCGCGATCAGGTAAACGTTGCCGAGAACAGCGCCGACAATCAGCAACATCACGCTCATGGCCGACAGCAGCCGAACGTACCGCACGAACCTGCGTCCACGGGCGTCCTTCTTGCTCTGATTCGGGAACACGGCCAGGCCCAGGAGGGGACCCGCGAGGGCGCCGGCGACGTGGGCCGCCCAGCCAACCCGGCCGCATCCGAGCAGCGCCGGTATCGGCAGGGACGCGACGTCGGCGCCGGCCAGCAGCAACACGGCGCCGAGACGCCAGCCGGCGTAGCGCAGCTCGCCGTGGCACTGCAACCAGATCAGAAACGAAAAGATATACGCGCGATGCCGCAACAGCTTTTACATTCTGAGAGTTAAAATATCCGAATAACATATATTTTGCCGATATTTTAACGATTTTTTAAACGATTTAATCTCTAAATCAAGTTTTATTTCGAGAAACTAGATCAAGTCAAGTTTTTCCTATTCTGAGAAATATGTGTCTGACGATGTGTCTGACCATAAATAGCGTTTACCACTGGTTTGTTCCTTGCGTTCGACAAAAAAAAATCGGTTATTTCCTATTTAATTGAAAACTTCAATTTCAAAAATAAGGCGTCGATATTTTAAAAACGATATGTTCAAACACGCAAACTCTCCGATTATACGCGTCCGCGTATCGACAACGACGTGTCCGACTACATGAAGCGTTTGTGTTTGCCGGTGTATTTTTCACGTTCGAAGAAAGTCGGTTACTCCACACTGGCGGGTGGAAAATTCGCGCGCGCGAGAGAGAGAGAAGGAAAGAAAAAGAGAATATTTCGAGCGGAAAAACGTTTCGCCGCGCGCGACTCGTGTTTTTACTCGGCGACTTGTTTTATTGTTGCGACGTCGAAAAGGGAACGAAAGGGTCATCGACGGACGGTTTCGCTGTGAGTTCTGGGAGAGAGATTGCGAAAACTTTTTCTCTTCTGCTTACCAAGTAAAGATGAGCGAGGTGACTCGTGAGCAGCGCGTAAATACCTGCCGAGGCTCCGACCAGGTAAAGACTCGGTTGAAGAAGCGACGCTCCCAGAGCGCCGCACACCCCGCCCCCGAGATAGATGGTCGCCACCCCTATTCGTCCCTGCTCCACCTGCAATCATGAGTCCTTCGTCTTCTGCTTCGTGTGTGAGAGAAAAAGTGTTTACAGTGCAGAAGAACGACGAATCTTCTCGACCCGTTTCTTGCGCTGAGTAAAAAAAAAACGGTTTTTTTTCGCGCCGTAACGATCTTCGTTCCGAAATAAACGTGACAAAGTGAGAGAGAGAAACGTTTCGCCGAACTCTTTCTATTTTTCGGCCAAACATCAACGAGAAAAATAAATTGCAACGGCAATTAAAACGTAACAATCGCAATGAGAGAAACAAATACGTGTAAATCAACGTAGACATTTATATTTATTTATAACAAGTATTACATTTGCGTATAAATCAACATGTAGAGCCTTTTATAGTAATTATTTTTGCCGAGATAGTTTTCCCCCGGGGGAAATAGTTCGAACCCGGCGATTTCCGGCTATTTCGTGTTACGATACGACGCGGCGGCGGCGGCGATTTAATTCGCCGGTACGCGAATGCCATTTGGCTTGATCGCGGGCGAAAAGGACGCATCATCGGAAACTTCGGTACGAGAGAGAGGCTCGTTCCCTTAAACGCCAGTGTCTCGGGGGCCGACGACGTTCTCCCGCAATTTACTTGATTGGCTCACCTCGAGTGGAGTGGCCAGGACCAGCTGAATGACCACGTTGAGTGCGAGGTGAAGTGTGTTCGAGTGCAGCAGCATGTAGGAGGCGAACCTCCAGCCCTGCGCCCGTTGACGGGGATCGTAGACCAGCCATCTCCGTAACGTCGCCTCGTCTCCCAGGCAGTGGACGGTTATCTGTTGTGAGTGAAAGCACGTTTAATGTGCTTGCGCCCGTCCGCGCCGCGGAGAATATTACGCGGAGAATCGCATACATCAAAAATACGGAATTAATTGCGCGGGAAAAGAGAGAGAGAGAGAGAGACGCGAACGAAATTGTTTTTAATCAAATTGCGATTGGCAATATTAAACGGCGCACGACGTTAAATTAACTTCTCGCGTCTTTTCACGTTTCTTTCGTTGGTATAAAATATCGACGATATTTATTGTCGTCGGTATTTGATATAATAACACTAATAATAATAACAACAACAACAACAACAACAATAATAATAATGACAATGATAACAACAACAACAACAACAACAACAACAACAATAATAATGATAATAATAATAATACTAACAACAACAACAACAACAACTTTATTAAAAAACAAAATTATATCTGTATTAAAAATTTTCATCGGTAAATTGTTTATCCGCGGAAGAGAATCGACCGTCTCTCTTGTAAAAGATATTTCACTTTTTTTTCTTTTAAGCCGTACAAAAGTGCGGGTTGGGAGATTCGTTTTTATCTTCTTCTGGGAAAGAAGACTAAATAAAGATACGAGAGTACATGAATTAAGCGCTATCCCGGATTCCGCGGAGGCGTCGTTGTCGCCGGTGCGCCAGCTATTTCCGTAACGACACTTGGCTCCCCGGGAGGAAGAACGATCTTCTGGCTCTCTCTTCGGCTCTGAGAGATGGAAAACGTGTTCCACGCGTCTTTATCGCCGCGTGGAACTCTTACGCGAGGGCACGAAAAGGAAAATGCTTGTCCCATCCAGATTAAACGCAGCGACATAAAACCCGAGATAACTGCTTAATGGAAACACGTGACGCGCGCGCTCTTTCTCTTTTCGATTTCGCTAATGGCGCGCAACGTTTCATGGTTTTTTTTTATACATACGATAAAAATACATCTACCATTTCACACGATATAGTTAAAAAAAAAAAAATACTTCAAAAAATAACATATTTTTCTATTTATTTTAACGCACAAAAGCATGATAATTCAACAACATTGGCACGTTATGTCTAAATCAAAGCGTTAATTTTATTTAACAAAAATACATATGTGTATATATATATAAACTGCATTTAGCAAAATTTTTGAACAAAATTCAATAAAAACGTTTTATACACAGTTAAACTGCATATTTAGCCGGGGAAAATTCAATAATAAATCCCTTCAGCGTATAAATTTCGCGATCATGCATACATTCGGATGTGTACATATATATATGTATATATATATATATATATATATNTATATATATATATATATATATATATATGTACACATATGTGTATATATATACATATATATATATATATATATATATGTATATATATACACATATATGTACATAATACTGTATCATAATCCCTGATAAACTGATACACAACGCAAGCGCGGGTAATACAATATTGCGCAACGCCTTGCAATTGAGCCGTATCGCGACGCGGGATCAATCGCATTATCGATCACAATGATTTACGAAGATCCGGCTTGCCCGTTAAGCACAGGTTCCCCATATGCGCGCGGCAACCGATATCCCGCCACGTATTATTTCGTTCGATGTTAATCGCACGATTTGCAAAATATTTATGCCGCGAAACGTATGGGTACGCGATGCGCGCAATTCATCGGTAGCGTTTAATAACTTGTTCATCCGATTACCCGAATTTATCGCGGGCGGGTAATAAAGAGATAGAGAGATAGAGAGATAAAGAGAGAGAGAGAAAGAGAGAGAGAGAGAGAGAGAGAGAGAGAGAGAGAGAGAGCACGCGTACGTTCCGCGCGCGAGTAGTTGCCGAAATACCTTGTCGCGTGTATTTTTCTTTCTTTCTTTCTTTTTTTTTTGTTTTGCCACCTCGTTGAAGATTATCTGCACGCGTGCAGACACTCGGGAGTCGGTAAATCACACGTGTCAGCAGGTGCGTCACTCTTTCGACAGGGGGATGATTCCTGCCCCCGGCTATCCATTTCGACGTCCCGCTTTTTACGACCTTCGTCTACTAACCCCCGGGATTCAACGTCGTTGGCGCTTAATGCGCTTTTACGAGCACCTCTCCTTAGGCCGTGCGCACGTGCGCGATAAATTTCATCTCTCTCTTTCTCTTCTGTGTGAAGTTCAATTTTGGCGACTAAATAAATCGCGAGCTTGTGGATTTTCCAGCGCGTTAAAACTCGGCGAATGCATTTGTTCAATAGTCATTAGGGAATTTTTTTTGAAAAAAAGCAAATATATTTTACGTATTACTGAATTATATCATTGATTGAATTATTTCGGTGCTGCGCGTGAAAACAATTTCTCAATTATCCAATCTGCATCTTCCCTTCCGAGATGGCAATAAGGGAAGGATTATTCGAGCGAGGACGAAGCGACATCCGGACGGTTATTGTCAAGCGCGCCATATGTCAGCCAGACGCGATCACAGTCAGTGATTTCGTCCAATACGGTATGTTCTAATTCCGAATTCTAAGCAAATGTTTGCAGCGGTCCGTATAATTGGCGCATATGTACGTACGGACGTACATATACATACGTGTATGCATGCGGTGCCCGGACGAGCACGGAACTCTCGGTCGGAGTTCGTAATTATAGATGTACAACGCGCGCATCGTAGGAATTTCATTTTCCTAAGATGCGAAAGAAGAAGAGACGAACGCGCGTAATATATTCTTTACGCGCTCAAAAGTAGTCGCATAATGCGGCGCGGTGTTCGATATTCGCGGCACGCTGAAATATCGCGCCAAGAAATGCGACTAGCGTTCGGAACAACGTCTGAGCGTCGCACACGCGTGTGTAATTTTCTCCGCGAAAATTATTCGAAAAATAAAATATTCGATTTTTTAGTTCTAATTAGCACAACACAGGCGCGCGCTACGCGCACGCTATTATTGTTTTTATTTTAATGTGTAGTGTCAGTGAACACACAATCTGTCACCGCAATGACAGCTAGTGTATACGTTTTACAAATCATATAATACACACATTAGAAAGATGTCAGAAATAACGCATAAAAACCAAAATAAAAAAATAATGAGAAGGAAAAGTGGAAAAACAACACGTGACTAAAGTCACGTGACTGTACTTTTAGTCACGTTTTTAAAGACACGTGACTGTAGTCACGTGGTGTTTTTTCTCTTCTCCCTGTCACGTGAGTTTACTTTAGTCACGTTTTTAGACACTGTAACGTGACTTTATTTTATAGTTACGTTTTTAAAGACACGCGCAACAAAGTCGCACTCGAACGGCGCGAGGCAGTACCGTGCATCTTGTTACGTCCAACATGAATCGAGAAACACACCCGAGAAACGTCCAATCAGCATCGAGATAAAAGCGGCAACAATCAAGATCGATAGAATCGATTATGATTATTTATACACGCTTTTTCTGGTAGGATCAAATTAAACTAATTTTATTTATAAAATATTCGATTCGAGAAATAATTTTTCTTGCACATTTAATTGCAACTTATAAAAATTTTACACAAATCAAATTAAAATATAGAAAATTAATTTATGTAAAAAATTGTTTATGTGCGTGATAGAATATTCAATTATTCAAACTTAATGTAATTTCAAACTTAAAATGCACAAATTTAATTATTCATAAAACAAAAGAGAATTATGTTTTAACGCGCTTCATAAAAGACATGCCTTGCTGGCATTAACTTCGTTTACCGTGGTGTAATCTGTTCGGAATGACCGCGATGATTCAGACGAAAAGCAGTATTCAAACCGCAACCGGGTTCACTTTACGAGTTTCGTCTACTCGTAAAGTGCGCGAAGGTGTCGGGACGCGAGCAAGACTTTCCGCAGGAATATGTTTGCGCTGTCTAAAGTTAAACGTAAAGAGGACTTTGTTTCCGCGCGCGGAATCTCTTGCGAATTCAAGAAACCGCAAATATACTCTGCTTCGCCGTTCGATGTCTTTCGCTCGTCCTGTCTTACGCGCGCACGTGCGAATATAAAGAGATAGGAGAATAAAATAAAATAAAATGTGTAGTTTTTGTAACGCAAAAGTAGCGTTTGAATATAAATACGGACTAAATTGTCGGTATTTCAATTAACGTGCTATAATTTTTTTTCGTTTCTTTTTCCGGCTCAAAAGATCGAAAGTCTCATATTGCTCAGACAACACACGCGCTCCTCTTCTCTCTGCGCTATCGCGTTAATCGCGGCGTAAAATGTCTATTTCCGGTGGTCTGGAGAACGTTTCAAGGTGTGGAATTCACCATTTTCCTCATTCCTCCGTTTCTCACTCGGAGGTCGTTGCGCGCGTTCGCGCACCCATTCTCTCTTAGTGATGCTCTCGTGTTACATCGTCGCGTTAAGGGCAGAAACAGAGTTTTGAGAGTTTTTTTTTGCCGAGAATTAGGAATGCATTTAACTTCGTAGTTTTAAATTTATGCATTTTGAAGCGCGCAAATTAATGCGCTCTACCGCATCATTATGAAAGTCCGAAAAAATTCACGAGAGCTGTTATTCTTATAATTCCGCGTCGCGCATTGATAATCGTAGTCAGTACAGTGTTACGCTGATTGACTCGAACAATTTCGCATTAAAGTTGCGCGTAATCATCCGTTTCGCTGGAATTAAAACGAAAATTTATTTTTCTCCGCTCTCTTTTATTTCGCGGAAAAAAATGCGAGCGATAAAAGACGTAAGCGTGATTTTAATAACTAATATATGACTTTGATCACCTTATAAAACCATTGCTCGTTAACACATTTGATTTTAAATAATTTAATTTAATTTTAATTTTTTTTATGTTTTTGTTTTATGATACCCATCGTATTTCCTCGTCTCTTTCTCCACACCGCGTTTTCTTCCCGTCCTGATGTAAAGTTCCTTAAATTTCAAGAAACGATTTCGCACCTGCAGCGATAAATATTACGGCTCGTTTCTTTTTATCGCGAAAAACGCCGCCGATGTTCTCCGCCGTTTTTCGCGCTCCTCGGAAGCAACCGCGCGACGCGGCAGCGTTACTCAGGCCCGCGCCAGCGCGCGTGTGTTTATACACGCGCTGTCTCGTATATCACAAATTATCTCCCCACTTGCAACAACAACGGGTTTTCACCAGACAATACTGCCGCGATAAAGTTGAAATTCACGGACTGCGCGGCCGTGAATTAGTGGCGCCTTTAATTCCGCGGCTTTAGGTTTATACACTCTAGCGCGCGCGCGAGCGCATGTTCTCCTCTCCTCGCGTTCGCGGGTAATTTTCCCGGAGATAAAATGCCTCGGGTTCCTCGTGCATTATTATATGCGAGCCCGGGAAAATTCGAGTACCGCAACGTTACTTTTGAGCGTTTCATTAAGCTCGAGAGCACGTTAATGTTTCTCTCTATCTTTCTCTCTCTCTCTCTCTCTCTCTCTCTCTCTCTCTCTCTCTCTTCCTCTTTCACCGACATTGTGTGAATAGCTCGCCGAGCCACTTTGAAAATCGCCTTTTCGCGCTACACTCTTCACGCGGATGACATTTTGCACGATCGTTCAATTAAGAAAAAAAAAAATTATTCAATATTTCGCACGTACAGCGAACACACGCCGTACGTACGAGTTTAAAAAAATTTTTTTTTCATCATCTTGAATAAAATCAACTCTGCTATATCGTAAACATCTCGTCATATTTTTTCTCTCCTTGTCGATAGTTTCGACGTAATTTATTCCATCAAGATTTTTCTCGGACAGATTCTTCAATCAAATGTCTCGGGAATTATCTTTGCGCTCTAGAAATCGACGTTCTCTTATTTCGATATGTCGGCAACCGTATCACGCTGTTGCCGAGGAAGAAAAATAACATGTGTGATGTATTTTTATTTAGCCTGAATTATTGCATCGGTACGCAAATCTTTCGCAACACAGTTATGACCCGCGTGGTTCGTTTTTATGATGTGTAAATGTATTGAAACTTTCAAATCGATTAAAATTAATTTGAGTCGATTTAAAACTTTGTCTCAACAAATATATCTGATAATAATTATATTTCCAAAAAATAATGGCAAATAATAAAGATTTGCACGCCGAAGCTAAACTTGGCGCAAAACATTTCAACGGTCACGCTGTGCGTAATTCTCACTTAAATGTCCGCCGTACATTTTTTCGTGTCTCTTGCTCCCATTTGCTCGCGAAACAAGCTTGAATCCGCATGTCTGCGACGGGCGTTCGCTTTGATCTCGCGCGGCGGCGGGTCAAAAGAAAAACTCGCGGCTAAGTGATTAACTTTCATCGCGTTCCGCGTAGATAAGAAATCGCGGCGCGTAAACTTCGTGGCTTTTAGATTCGCGCATTTTTATTCGCGCGTTTTCATTCCGACCCGCGGGAATTTCCGGGGCTGCAAAAAAAAACAAAAAAAAACAAACAAAAAAAAAAGCGAAAAGACGAAGTTCCTGAGATTATTATCTGAGCGGAAGAAGCGCCGCCGCGGCTTTTTTTTAGGGGGGAGGGGGGCGAAGTCTTCGCTATCAAGCCGCGCGTCTCGGAATATCAGCGTTTCCGCTGTTCTCCCGGACGAATTCGCGCGTATAATTGAAAAGGATTCCCATCGCGCGCTCTCTCTTCACCTCTTCTTCCTCCCCCTTCGCCTCTCGCCAAGTCGAAGAACTCGACGCGAGGACACGTTGATTCTGTTAATGAGAAATCCCGAAAGCTCACGCGCCCGTTTTACAACCATTCTTTTCCGCTCGACTTTGCACACTCGCCGGAATGTTCCGCCGGCCGTTTCTACGACGGAACAATTTTATCCACTCACACAGCCTCCCCTTAGCGTAGGTATTCGCTCGAGCGTAACAGAAATATGAATATAAAGAGACAAATAAAAGAAAAACAATCAAATATGCGAGAGATAATCCGGCGCAAAAAATTGCTGACACATTTTTATCAACGGCGTTTACAAAAAAAAGAAAAAACAATATTAATTGTCGCAATTTAATTTTCGACCGGCTCGAAAGCGTAGTTCAAAGCTACTCTAAGCCGATTAAAACGTTTCCGCTTGATAAGCGATGTTTTAAACGTATATCTTTATTATAAGCGGCCGTTCGATTCGATCGTTTCTTTCTGCTCGTCGAACGACCGGATTTGCTCTCTATGAAAAATCATCGTCGAAATTACGACAGCGTTTGCGCGCTCGCAGGTACACCTCGCGCACCGACAATCGTCGTCGTTGTGTCATCCGTCGTAATTGCGTAATTACTATTTGCGCGCGGCGTTCGCTCACCTCGATGATGCTAATGCAGATCATGAGGTAGGGCGGTCGTATCCGGAAGCTCGGCTTCCTGGATGGCAGTGGGTATCTGGGCGTTGGTCTGGGCGCGACCTCATCGTCACGCTTTTTTTTATACGAGGATGTGACGATGATGGGCGATTCCAGGGAGTAGGGCGAGCCGGGCCCCGAGTAAGTCGCGTCTGTGGAATCCGACGACGAGATCGTCGACAGAGTGGGCGAGTTCTCCAGCAGCGCTGCCTCGGCGTCCATCTTAGTGCCTGCCTAAACAAACGAAAGAAATCACCGGCTGGTTAATGCGGCGTATTTACTCGAGGAAAAATAGCAAAAGAGAAAAATACACGTTTGGCTTTAAATGCATACATATACAGGGTGGTCTCAAACTTTTCCGTCCAAGACCGAAGTGTGAAGATCGGGTCAATTCAAATCGAAGATTCACGTGCCAATTTACAATGTTTTGGTAATTAATTAATTAATTAATTAATGTGAGCTAATAAGCGCGTAAGCGGATCGACTCTGTATGCGTGTGTGAAACAATGTGATTTTCGGTTGTAAAGAAAATTCGCTTACTTCGTATTCTAGCAACGGAGAACGGAGTAACGCAGCGAGCGACGTGTGTGGCACCGGCTCTCGCTATCAGCTATCGGATATTGATTTATTGATTTTCTGAAAATCATACGGCTTTTTATGTGTTACGTCCTGACCTACGGTTACGATCGGGCCCTAACGGAGGAACGCAACTTGACACACGACACTTTTGTGTATTATATCTCGGCACACTGACCTAATGAGATAAGGCAAGCATGCGAGTCGAGTGAGACTGTTCAACGACGTAGTCAAGTCAACGGACTTCCCGATATTACTT